CTGGGCCGGCTGCCTGGCCGAGGTGAGTCGAGATCGGCCTGCAGTGTAGGGCTGGGATCGGGGTGGCTGGCATCCACCGCTCGTTCTCGGGGCTCCATCCTGGCGGGCTCTGGAGGACGCTGGCAGCCACAAGGACCCTAGTCTCCGAGCCCAGTCTGGTCACGCCCCCTAAGGCTGACGCCCAGGATTCCGTGGCCACACCTCCCTGGACTACCAGTTTACTGGTCAAGCCCGGAAGCGCCGCGCCATCAAGTCAGACCGCGGTCCGGGTTGGGTCCCAGTTCAGTCTCTGGCAAGTCATTTGTCTAGGCTGTGCCCCAAAGGCGGATGTCCCGACTTAGCCACGCCCTCTCTGGGCGCTGCCCCCACCCGCCTCTTTGGGCCCCGGGAGGCTGCATCCCCACTGGGGTGGGGTCCCAGACAGCACCGGGCAGCCTGAGCTGACCCTTGGGCGTGTGTATGTTGTTGGGGGGGTTCTGTCTGCAGCTTCTGCTGACCCTAACCGTTCCGGGCCTGGTACCTATGAGGACGTGTCGGATGGAGCTCAGGCTGGTGGGCTAGGTAAGTCAGACTCTGCAGTTTTGACCAAACCCCTGGACTCAGGGCATGGGCTCAGGCTCTGGGAGGCTGGTGGGTGTGACCGCACTAAAGCAGGAAGATCTTGAGGCATGGGGATGACCTTGGAAAGTTGCTGAGCTATTCACACCTCAGCCTCTCCATGAGGACCACAGCTCTCTTCCTCTCCCAGGCTTCAACATGCGCATTGGAAGGCCGAAAGGGCCCCGGGAACCCCCTGCGGAGTGGACCCGGGTGTGAGTGCTGCGTGGTGCTGCCTGTGTCACCTGTTGCCGCTCTCAGGCACTTGGACTGCTGACAGACACCCCTCTGCTGTACCATGTGCTGGGGATGGAAACTCTGGGCCTAGATGGAAATAAAAGTTTCTCAGAGTGGAAACTGCAGGCTTTGTCCCAGTGATTACAACATGGAGGGCTTGAGGCTGGGGCCTAGGTGGGAGGTAATGGCTGGTAAGGGTGCACTGAGCAGAGTCCAGGAAGAGCATCACGAATGGGCAGGACCCAGCCAGTCCTAAAAGAGAAAATGGACACATAGGCCTCCCATAGCGACCCCTTTACCACATCACAGACTGGTCCATCCTCAGCGCCTCAGCCACCCACACTTGGAACTCAGGTGACCATACAGCAAGATGGATGGCCCCTGAGAAAGGCTTATGCTATTCAGACACATCCAAGCCAGCATAAGCAAACAGACTGACTCCAGAGAGACAAAAGTATTCTCTCTAGGCAGACAGATGGATCACCAACCTGGGCAGACAGCCAGAAAGGACAGTCAAAGAGACAGTCCATGGCCAGACAGGTGGCCTCCCAGCCAAAGAGACCAAGCAACTAACAGGCCAGTCCCAGCCTGCAAGGCCACAAATAGGCAGAGCCCTCCCCAGCTAGATACCAGATGGACCCCCTAGCTGGGTAGACCCCCTGGTAGATGTAAACAGATCCCAGCTGGACAAATACTCATCTCAGCTACACAGAATTCCCCCCTCTTCCCTCCACCCCACCAGCTACACAGACCTTGTCCCCTTGCTTCCTAGGTGGGCAGACTCACTGAGAGAACTTCCAGGCAGATAGACTTCTGATTTGCTATACAGATTCCCAGCCACACCGAGCCCTGACTGTATAAACAGCCCAGCCACCCTGCCAGACCCCTAAGTAGCCAGATTGGTGGAGCGACAGATAGTCCCCACCAACTACATAGAACCCACATTTTGGCAGATGCCTTGATGCATCTCCTGGTGGCAAGACAACTGTTCAGACGAGTAGGTGGATCTTTGGGAAATAAGCATCCTGAGATGGCCATGCTGCAGTCCCTTCTCCTCTGCACCGACTCTCGGTGAGCAGACTGCAGATCAATAAACGCTGTGGACAGGCACATTCCCTGTTGGCAGATAGATGGATCCCAGTCCCTTGGGTAGATAGGTCCTCTGTTGGATGCATGGACCCTCAGTTGGGTGGGTGGACTCCCAGCCAGATAGTAGACACTTCCAACAGCCAGAGAGAGAGGTGGTCTCCCAGCTGATTGGCCAGCTTGATCCTAAACTAGATGGACAGATGGACCCCCAGGGCACAGCCCTCCAGCCAGATGGATGGGTGGATCTCCATCTGGACAGATGGAATGGACCTCAACTGGTCAAGTAGGTGGCTCCCCAGATGGACAGATAAGGCCTCCCCCCACAAATGAGTAGTACATCTCCAATTATTCAGACAGATGGACCCCCAACAAGTTAGACCCTATCTTGTCAGCTTTAGACAGATGCCAGACAGACTGACCCATAGCTGTTTATATAGACTCCTGGCCACATTCCCAGCCCTTAAGCAAGTAGACACAAACAGCATCTTGGCATTCAAATCTTTAACTACAGACCTGTAGCCTGACCAGACAGATGAACCAAGCCCCAGGCAGGTAGGCAGATGGACAGACCCCAGACTGACAGACCAGCTATCAGCCAATGACTGATGAACCTCTAGGTGGATACGCCAAGCTGAAAAATGGACCCCAGACAGATAGACATACAGCTCCATGATGGGCAGACAGGTAGACTCCCAGCCAGAAACACACAGCCTCATAGACCTCTAGCCAGACAGTAGACTCCAAATGAGTCAGACCTCAGCTGGACAGATAGGCTACCCAGTCAGAAAGACAAACAGCCTCCCATCCAGAAAGGCAACTTCAAACCAGACAGACTCCCAGATGGACAGAAAGACAGTAGACTTATACATAATGCTCCAAAACTCTGATCCTACATTGTGTCCTTGTTTCCAGTGTGATCTTTCCAAGCAGGTCAGTGTCTGACAGTGTCCAGTTTGTCTAGGCAGACCCCTCGCCACCCTTCCTCTCTCCCCAGTGCCCTCCCTGGCCTACTGGCCCATGACATGCATGGACCATGGAGATCTCATAGTTACTGAGTGAATTTAGTGAGAGCAGTCCAGCGCTTGATAAATGCCAGACCTTGACCATCTCTGGACACTGGTTCTTGTCCTGAGACAAGCCACTGGCCCTTTGGGTGAGGACAAAAGAAGGGTGGAACATGTCCTCCTTGGCTACAGTGCCCACTGGCAGGAACTTAGTTCACCAGGTGCCAAGGTCTGCACAAGAAGTAGCTCAGCTGACAGAAACCAGAGATTGCAGAGAAACTTATGAGCTCTCCAACTTCACAGGAAACAGAAAACCTGTATAGCCTCTCAGGCAAAAAAAGTTGGGGCTGCCCAGTTGGAGGGAGGCAGGGGAGGTGGTGTCACCTTGGGGCTGCTGGAAGCAAAGGAGGGCCAGGCATCATTTAGATCATAAACCGACCTCCAAGCAGAAATGCTCAGTTCATCAGCTCCCTTATTGGCCAGCAGGGGAAAACCCGGTGTCTGGGAGGGGGAATGGAGCAGCAAGAGGAGGTGCTCCTCCTTGGGAGGGGAACCAGGGCTGCCTCTGTACAGCTACTTCATGTGCTCTGTGCTGAGGCCAGCCGTCAGGCTGTGGAGAGCAGCTGGCAGCCTCTGGTAAGAGGTTTTTGTTGTTGTTTGTTTGATTTTGTTTGGTTTTGTTTTTGGAGAGGTTTTTTGCTATAGGGCGCATGCTCTGGCCAGAAAGACAGAGAGACATAGAGACAGGAAGTGAGAAGTCACCCCCCCGGGGGGATGGCCACGCTGCAATCCCTTCTCCATTCTCCTCTCGGAATCTTAGGCATGCACGCACACGCGCCCGGCATGAGTTTAAGCCACCGAGTCTGGGACTTGAACCGCGGTCGACTACATGGGAATTCAGCGCATAGCCATTACACCAACTGCTGGTCCCTCTGGTAAGAGTTTTTAGGATGAGGTTTAAGGCTGAGCTGTTTGCAATTTTAGAAAGTATTTTTTATTTATGATAGAGAGCATGAGTGTGCACATAAGAGAGAGATAAGAGAAGAGGTGGGGCGGGAGGAGCACCCTTGCCATGCTAACGCCAAAGTCCTGATGTTCAGATCCTGCCTGGCTGAGACCAGAAAGAAGTGAATGGCAGCCCCTTTCCTGTTGCTCCAACCCACACATTGGAGCTGTCTTCCTTTGACTCCTCTCCAGTATTCTTTTGGCAGATCCTGCCAGTTCTGCCCAGACCCCGAGGCCTGTACTTCCTCTCCTCCCTCTTATCTCCTCCCTCCTCTCTCTGGGCTGGCCTCCTGCTCCTGTTGTGCCTCCTGAGGTCTGTCCTCACTGAAGTCGGGTTGTGCTGCTCCTCTCCTCAAAACATGCCAACCTGCCGTGCCCAGGGCCTGTCACTTCTTACCTTTCCTAGGAGGCTTTTGCCCCTGACATAACTCTACTCCCTCCCTGGACCCCACTGGTTCTGTATGCTAGGCCTTCTCAGCAAAGGGTACAGATGAGTTTCTGAAGGGTGACTGAGTGACAAACAGAAGATTGGAATGTCCTAGACGTTGTATCTGGGAAGGATTTGCTTCTTCCATTGCAGGATAATGAGTAACTTCTCTCCAGAGGAGAGACACCTTCCCCCGCAGCAGCCCTGATAAAATGTCCAAGTTTCCTAATCTGGGGCTCCTTTCCCGTGATGCAAGGCCACTGCACCCACAGGTGGCATTCAGACCTCACCACATCTCCCTTGGAACAAGGGCATGGAAAGCAACTTAGATGCCGCCTGGCCGCTGTGTTGACTGTGAATAAGTAACAAGCTCTCAGTCTCTGATTCACAGGCCTGGTGTTTGTACGTACGCCATGTGAATGAATACAAAACCGTGCAGGCTACCCTGTTAGCATGTAGGGAGGGTCTGCTAAAAGCAAAATGAAAATGATGGAGACCAGGTCTGGAGAGAGTTCCCTGAGCACGCAAGACCAAAGGCCTTACAGTCTTCATCTTACTCAAGTTGTAAACATAAGTGAGACTTAACCTGGGTCATTTCTGATAAATGCTTAAATTAGTCACATAACATAAGATTATGTGGACAGGGACTTTCCAACAAGGAACCCAAAAAAGGGCAATTTTGTAATTGGAAACTGATCAGATTATTTCTTTTTTGCTCCCTCATTTTTTTGAACAAATACTTGACTCTGACATTTTTGTCAGCAGAACACCAGATCTCTTAGTGTTCCCCAGTTCATGAAGTGCTTCTTGCTCAAGTAAACTTAAACATTTTATTGTGCCTCAGATTTTTTTCCCTTTTAGCCATAGGGTGCTTGTGTTCACCAGAGAGAGACAGAGAGGGAGGGAAGTGAGAAATCACCCCCTAGGGGGATGGTCATGCTGTAGTCCCTTCTCAACTCTCCTAGGATTTTGGGCATGCGCGTGCACACACACGTGCCCGATAATATTCTCAAGCCGGACTGGCCTAGGGATCCGAACAGGCTATTGGCCATGTGGCTTCCAGAACTGTCCAATTTGTTGCTGATTGCAACACCAGTCTAGACCGTGTTTTTCTTTCCCATTTCAGAGCCTTCGCAGTCTTCCCTTGGTCTAAGCCCGCAAGCCCACTCCTGCTTTAGGCATCGGCCCTCGTTGTTCTGTTTGCCTGGAATGCTTTTCTCCCAGATTCTGCTTCTAATATCTTAGGAAATTTACCTCCTAACGTCTTTTTTTTTTTTTTTTTGTCCTCTCTCTGGGCTGGCCTCCTGCTCCTGTTGTGCCTCCTGAGGTCTGTCCTCACTGAAGTCGGGTTGTGCTGCTCCTCTCCTCAAAACATGCCAACCTGCCGTGCCCAGGGCCTGTCACTTCTTACCTTTCCTAGGAGGCTTTTGCCCCTGACATAACTCTACTCCCTCCCTGGACCCCACTGGTTCTGTATGCTAGGCCTTCTCAGCAAAGGGTACAGATGAGTTTCTGAAGGGTGACTGAGTGACAAACAGAAGATTGGAATGTCCTAGACGTTGTATCTGGGAAGGATTTGCTTCTTCCATTGCAGG